CTATTGATCTTCTTACTCCAACTTGTCCGGTGTTCGATATTGAGGTTCGTTTTCGCGGTCTACCACGTTTTCGAATATTGACTGTTGTTGTCACTTCCGTTGTCGTTGTACGTGCGTCCTCACCAGTCCGTATTTTTACTTGGCTTCGCGTAACCCTTCCCGACGCAGACAGATCCTTTGTCAATTCGCCGCAATTTAAAACATCCAAGTGGCTATGTGCCATGCTACAGCCGGTACTCAACCTCTACAACAGCCACTGCGTCAAAGATACTTTCGAGTTTGTGGAAAAGCTAAGGGACGCAAACTTTGAATCGAGCGGATTCATGTGTTCGTATGACGTGGTCAGCTTATTTACTAACGTGCCACTACGGGAGACCATTGACATCTGCGCAACAACACTGTACCACAATAAGTCCATTACTCCGCCGTCCTTGAACGAAACGGAGTTTGTGAAACTCATGTTAATGGTTACATCTGGCGTTGAGTTTTCATTTGGCAACGTTATGTATAAACAAATAGATGGCGTTGCCATGGGCTCGCCACTTGGTCCTGTATTGGCTAATATATTTGTAGGGTTCTGTGAAGCGTCCATTAGTCCATCATTGTGGCCCTCTATGTACTGTCGTTTTGTAGACGATGTGTACTGTCACGATGAGGATGAGGATGTCTGTGGGACTTTTCTACTAACTCTGAATAGCCTCCATCCGGCGTTGAGATTCACGTCGGAAGCGGAACAAAACGGCAGATTATCCTTCTTGGATGTACAAATTTCACGCAACATTAACACTAAGAGTTTGGACACCACTATCTATAGGAAGCCAACTTTCACCGGCCTCTACATTCCGTGGGGGAGCTATACTCCAACGAAATCGAAGAAACATCTTGTGAAAGCGCTAGTTTTACGCATAGAATATGTTCCCCTCATCTATTGCAGGACGAATTAGACAGACTGACATCAATATTTACGAACAACGGCTATCCAAAGGAATTTCTGGCCAAGCTTATCAACGAAAAACCGGCGACAGACAAGCCGATCCAATTTGGACCTGACCTTTGCCCAGTGGTGCTCCGTTTACCCTGGGTTGGCGCCGGTTCTGCGCGCGTGGAGAAGGATGTTCGTGGTATCGTATGTCCATCTTATCCGTGCGTCAAGCTGTACGTCATATTTGGGACAGTGCGTGCGTTCAGTGTGAGAAGGATGTTCTACCTACCCTTAGTAAAAGTAACCTTATCTATTTCTTTCAATGCCGACAATGTGAAGATCGGTATGTAGGTAGAACCCTTCAGCACCTGGGCGCGCGCATTCGTCAACATGTGCCGTTAAGTTTTGTTCCGCTTGATGCGCGTGATTGTCGTCCTCGCCGTGGTCGTCCTCCAAAAAAATGTGCTGTCCAGTCCATCGGTGGATCTTCCTCTTCCTGTGAAGATATCACTGCATGCCCGTCCTCCTCCGCGTGTATAGCGCAGGGTCCAGCTGAGAACAGCTTGAAGGATGGTGAAAGACCGACACGTAAACCACCGAAATTGACAAAGGATCTGTCTGCGTCGGGAAGGGTTATGCGAAGCCAAGTAAAAATACGGACTGGTGAGGACGCACGTACAACGACAACGGAAGTGACAACAACAGTCAATATTCGAAAACGTGGTAGACCGCGAAAACGAACCTCAATATCGAACACCGGACAAGTTGGAGTAAGAAGATCAATAGAAATCCGCAATGGAGGAGACGTAGCTGAAAGGACACTGGGCATCGCGCACACAACGCCTAGTGTCAGAAAACGTGGAAGGCCGCGGAAAAGCAAAGAAACGGATAGTGGTGATGCCGCGAAGAGGCGAGATGACGGGACATTGGAGGAGACTACACCCAACGGAGCTAAGAATCGCACTTCGTCCATCAAGCAACATCTGTCAGCCCGTACCAATTGTCGTGAGTTGTACAGTGATAATGTGTTCTCAATATTGTCACGTGGTAGATGTGCGTTGCATCTGGCTGTGTTAGAAGCTTTGTATATCCGTAAGTTAGATCCTGAACTTTGCGTACAAAAAGAAAATGTGTTGTCGCTACAATTGTTTGGTGTTACTCCTCGTCGAGGTGTTAACAATGTAACTTAATTTGCTCACTGTGTTCTTGTCGCTATTATTATGTCCTTCGAGTTTTGTGTCGTGCTGAACTTGATACTTTTTTTCACCTTGTCACGAGTGTTGTTATCTCATATCTTTACGCTATATAAGTTTTAGTCTTTTCAACTTGAGCCATTCCCTGTTTAATCCTTGATGAGAAGGGACCGAAAACGTTCGGATACTTTGACAAGTGCCTTATTTTGACTGGATGTGTGTTTGCGTGGATACTTACGACCTAACACGTACCTTCGTTATTAAAGTATTATCCGCCTCCGACTTCTTGTTAAATATTATACTATTAAAAATACTTTAGAAACGGTGGTAAGTATCAGGTCGCAAGTATCCACGCAAACACACATGAAAATACGGACTGGTGAGGACATACGTACGACAATGGAAGTGACAATGAACATTCAAAAATGTGGTGGACCGCGAAAACAAACCTCGACATCGGACACCGGACAAGTTGGAGTAAGAAGCTCAACCGAAGACCGCAATGGAGGAGATGTAGCTGAAAGGACTCTGGGCCTCTCACACACAATGGACAGTGTCAGGAAACATGGAAGGCCGCGGAAACAGACAGAGACGAACTGTGCTGGTGCCGCAAAAAGGCTAGATGACGGGACATTGAAGGAGACAACACCCAACGGAGCTAAGAATCGCACTTCGTCAATGAAGCAACATCTGTTAGCCCGTACCAATTGTCGTGAGTTGTACAGACAGGGGCGTAGAAGGAGTTTTGGAAGTTGTACGACCAAAGGTCGGCGCGGCCAAAGGCCGTGTTAGAGGGGGGACCTCCCCCGGGGAAAATGTAAAAAAGACACAAAATCCTGCGTTCTGGGAACTTCTGGAACACTTCTGGCACAATTAAGTCATAGAATTTCACGATCAGAAGAGACGTGCATGGACACGTAGGAGATGCAACTGCATGAAGTGCCCGTCAACTTCACCATCTTCCTTAGTTGTGTTTCGAAGAGGAAGTCCTCGCCTGGCCAGAAACTTCAGCATCTACAGGATCTTGAAGAAGCACTGGCGGTGTTGCTGTCGATGCTTCGCTCGTTGCGAGTCTAACAGCTCCCCAACATCACCGACCACTTGAGGGATTTGCTGTAAGCGCTCCACAGCCTCCTTGTGACATCCTGATACAGCGTGATCTGTCATCACTCGCTTTACCTCTTGCCAATTCTGGAAGCCTGTCGAGATAAATGCCGAATCCGCATGTCCTGAAGAGATCAGATTCTGCCTGGACGCACACGTACGCAAGCGTAGCAAAACACTTTCTCGCTGCTAACGTCCCAGTGAAGCCAAGGGAACGGATCAAACCACTTGGGCTGAAAACGGCAAAACACAACTACCTTCACTCCGTAGCTTCGGAAACTCGTTGTCTCTTGGCTGAAACGGCTCTTCGCCAACTTCTGGCAAAGGTGTCTCCGCCATCACCGATCTCAGAACGAACTGACTGGAGAGTCTGTACAGTGCGACTTCCTGGCCTAGTTTATTTATTTCGAGCAAAAGTTCGGTACAACAAGCAAGGCAGGACTAATATGAATCATGCATGGACATGCACCATGGCAGTACAGTATCCAGTATCTGGCACGCACGACTCGTACTCGTATATCTACGAGTCGCGACGTCAGTATCGTATGCAATGCACTGACGTGACATGACTGTGCATGACTGTTCAGTGTGCAGTCGAGTACAGTACTCGTACTCAGATATATGGCAGATCTACGAGTACGAGTCTAGAAAAAGGTCAAAGTCTGATGCGCATATGCATCGATGGATCCTGATTTTTTTATTACGGTTTTCCAACGTTCCGGACAGACCACACTTTTCGAAAAGTGGTACGGCCATGGTTGTACCAGTCGCGCCCCTGCCAGTGATGATGTTTTCTCAATATTGATACGTGGTAGATGGGCGTTGCATTTGGCTGTGTTAGAAGCTTTGTATATACGTAAGTTAGATCCTGAACTTTGTGTACAGAAAGAAAATGTTTTGTTGCTACAATAGTTTGGTGTCACTCCTCGTCGAGGTGTTAACAATGTAACTTAATTTGCTCACTATGATGTTGTCACTATTATTATTTTCCTTCGAGTTTTGTGTCATTCTGAACTTGATAATTTTCCACCTGTCACGAGTGCTGTTATCTCACTATCTTTACGCTATATAAGTTTTGGTCTTTACAACTTGAGCCATTCCCTGTACAATCCTTGATGAGAAGGGACTGAAAACGTTCGGATACTTGATGACAAATGCCTTATTTGACTGGATGTGTGTTTGCGTGGATACTTGCCACCTAATACTTACCTTTGTGTTTAAAGTATTTTCCGCCTCCGACCTCTTTTAAAAAATCTATTTAAAATACCAAGAATTTGGTGAAAAATAATCGCTTTTTGTCGGATAAGGAAAGTATTCGTTCATTAACCTTATAGAATATTCGTTGCAAGCCTATTTATTTCTATTTCCATTTGCAAGCTCCACACAGGACTTCCCTGTACGCATTACTCAGGGTTCTGTATCGTGATCTGCGATAACGAAATGTTTTGGATAGTGCTGAGCCGAGTGCAGCATTAGGGTGTCCCTGCCGCCAGCCTATTTATTTTTGTAGCCACAACCCATTTTTTGCATGAGCTGATTGTCAAGTAACTTGTGGTGTTAGTGGACATTGAGTTGGTTGGTCTAGAAAGAATACTTATTTGATATTAGTGGACATTATAGCATAATTTGTAGTTCCTTGGTCCTTTTCTGTCTTACCATGTAATTTTGAACTGCAGTTTTCAGTTTCATGTGCTCACTTTCCTTGATTCAGGGCACTATGTAAAAGGTTCCTGTTTGATGTTTGTTATGTTGAATGTTTCTTATATTTACTTCTCGTGTAGCTGCAACGGCAACAGCTACATTTGCTAAGGTTATGGCAACTAGTTTCAGCGTCAAACTCGTTCTGAATTCCGCTTCGTTTATGCCTGCAAAATATTGCTTCAAATTGGACAGGGTTTCCATTTCTGGTGCCACAGCAAGTTCGGTAATACATCCCATCACTTCATGTGTTAGTGGCGGGTTGAGTACTGTCATCATTCCATTCAGTTCGCAGGAGGAAGACTCGATATACACGGTTCCCAACGCATATTTTGAAGATAGCCAAGGAACAGTGACCACGTTTGCGGGCACTGCCACCGCTACCACTAGCATTGCAGGTAAGCGCATTGTATCTTGAAACAATAAGCTGGTTTATAATCACTACATGTAGTTCTTAAATGTAGTACATGCATCTGCGCAATCCACACCAGTCCGAAAGAACACTAAGAAATTTTAGAACCGAACGTTCTTTTGGACTGGCACGGTGCGGATTGCGTAGATACATTTACTACATTGAAGAACCCAGACAACCCAGGGGCCCTGGGCGTACCACTTCCTACTGCCCTGTGACGCCCTGTTTATTGTTGAACCCACAAATTCCACAATTTGTCCTACAGAATGTAGAGCACTAAAGCAAATGATATTATTGCAATTCAGCGACCGGATGAGAGGATTCAAGAGCTGAAGGTTCTGTTGTAGTACGTTATTTTGTGTACGTCGTGTGTACGTCATGTTGGTGCATGCGCGTGTTGCCGTGGTGTGAAAAGCAGTCTTCGTCTTGAGTTCTTCATGTCTTCGTCTTGAGTTCGTCATGTCTAGTTGTGTTTCTTCGTCGTGTCAATAAACAGTCTTCTAAATGTAGTTATCGTCGTCCCTTTGTACAAGTGTGGAGATGACATGGCACTGGGAGCAGGTAGAGAAAGGCGAGTTACAACATTGGTGGCAGCGGTAATGGAAATTGTTATAAACTTCAACTTCTGGATTCGTCCTGCGAGGCCTTCGCTCCCAGTTTCCGATGTCATCTCCAATCATCCTATCGTCACAGTTTCGTCCGTCTTCAAGAAATTCGTCCGCCGTCCTCGTCCTTCATCATTCGTCTCTCCCGTCTCTTGTCAGTCGTCAAGACTGGTGGTCACGGACACGACGTAAAACTGTGCCCAGAAGAACCTGAAAAGAAAAGAAAAAAGAAGGATGGAAGGTGAAGAGAAAAAGAAGATGCTGCAGAAGTGAGGATGGCAACACTGAGCAGCACTTTTGGAGATGGTGGACGACATGGCAGACGGCGTGAGGAGTTTCGTTGGTGAGAGGGTACGTGTGTTGTTGTGAACGTGAGGAGTATGTGAGTTTTGTATTTTCTGTTCTCCCAACATTTTGTTCTTCATTATTTACTCTCCTCGAGGGTAAAGAGGCGCCCGCACAGCGCGTGTGTTCTGTTTTATTTTTTATTTGCTCTTCTATGAGGATAACTAGAGGCCCCCACAGAGCCAGTGGATTTTGTTCTTTTTGTTATTCCTATGATTTGTGCTCTCACATTTTTAGAATTTTTCCGTGGTCGTGAGGTGGTGTGTTTAGTGAAGCATTAGTTAGAGTTTTGAGGTTATCAGTTCCCACACGTGTGACAGCGATCGTGGCTGGTGTTCTGGGTGGGAGGACAGAGTTTAACATTTTTTTAATATTTTATTTAAAAATAATCTGCAGTGCGGGCAGAGGTGTTTTATTTATGGGTGTGACTGGTGTGGTATGATTGAGTGATTTGTGTGATCTTATCCCCTTTTTACTCTGTTCTATTATTAGAATCGAGGACGATTCTGCTCTTGGGAGGGAGTTAAGTTGTAGTACGTTATTTTGTGTACGTCGTGTGTACGTCATGTTGGTGCATGCGCGTGTTGCTGTGGTGTGAAAAGCAGTCTTCATCTTGAGTTCTTCATGTCTTGGTCTTGAGTTCGTCATGTCTAGTTGTGTTTCTTCGACGTGTCAATAAACAGTCTTCTAAATGTAGTTATCGTCGTCCCTTTGTACAAGTGTGGAGATGGCACGGGACTGGGAGCAGGTAGAGAAAAGCGAGTTACAACAGTTCTAATGGTGCAGCGGTGGAGCCTCGTGCGGCTTATGCTGCAAGGACGCATGGTTTGAGACATACATGGACGTATTCGCTTCGGGCTATGGACCTAGGTGAGGAGGTACTTGCTCCTGTGGAAACTTACCTCTCTCAGAGTTTTTTTGCCAGTTGTTGTAGGGCAACCTGCATTGTCTGCCAGTGATTTGAGAGTGTTCAGACTCCCTATTCGGCATGGCAGGATGGCTATCCCGGATTTGGTGCCTATGTCTGCGTACCAGCGATGGCAGTCTCGGCATATCTCGGAGCCTCTGGGGCTGGGTATTGTTGGGCTACCTGGGTGTGCCCTCTCGACCTGCCGCCTCTCCGAGTCACAGGCATGTAGTGCATGGAGTGACCACGCTGCCTCCGCTCCTGTGGCATTGACAGTGGACACCGTGCTGGAGCGGAAGGCCCAGACTCTTGCCCTGCAGAGGAGGGAAGCTATGGCTGCGGCGAGCGCGGCTGCTGAAGCGCTGAAGTGTTGGACGAACGCAACACGAAGCGTATTGTCGAATTATCAGTGAAGTGTGCCTCTTAGCCAGGTTTTACTGTATGAGCAACATGCACAGAACCTGCTGGGAGAGTAAGCGTGTACTCGAGTCTCATCCTAAGCACTTTTATCTTCTTTTTTCAGCTCCTGTCTAGCTGTATTGTCGTGGAGAACTAGCTGCCTCGACTATACCCTGAAATAGAATGAGTGTCGTTGTGATAACATCATTTACGAGTGTCGTTGTGATAACATCATTTACGAGTGTGTTGTTACGATACAGTGTTTGTTGTGTGTTGTGCATGTTTGTCGGATAATAATATCAATAACAATACGCCGATATAATAATAGTTGGATAGATAGTACTTACGTTGTTGCTTGCATTCTCGCTCTCCACAGCAACTCCATTGCGTGCTGCGTTCTATGTATTCCTATTCTGTACACTGACTCTCTCTCTCTCTCTGACAGGGTTTGCTGTCACCCTGTCGCTGGGCGCAAGCACCCTCTGACAGACCAAACCGATTCTCTTCATCTTTGCAATAGACGACCGGCTCTCCTGCCCTACAAGCATCGGATCACCATGCTAGTGATTGCAGATAAGGACCGGAAGACAAACCCTGCAGTGGGTTGCAACCACATCTGCGCGAACCTCTGCGTAAAGTACTGGCTAGTGAAAGGGAAGCAGGCCATCAAGTCACACCGACTGCAGTGCAAAACAGGCATCTGACACTGGAGGAAGCCAGCCATACAACTGATGGGCCAACTGCCGTCAAGCCGTGCACCGGTCACCAAGCAGCCATTCACGAACGTGGGAGCAGACTTCGCCGGTCCCTTCCACACTCGTCAAGGAGCCCGTACAGTCAAAAATCTACGGTATACCGTCGATGGACTAAAACGTTCGGAACTCACTCGAAACTTGATGGATTTCCACGATGGATTTCCACGATCGAAATATTGAAAGAAGTGAGGTCTAGACACGGGCTCCTCTGCATTGCAGTGGCGTCTTGGCCTTGCGCGAGCTTGATGCAAGACGCCGTGCTGCTGGTCACAAAGGGACTCTTTCCAGGCGTCAGGCGACTTGCAAACTTATCGCTTGCCCATTCAGCAGAGAGGAAGGCAACCAACTGCACCTTGTTCTTGCCCACAGACAAGAATTTTGCCCACTCCCAGCCAATTGCACCATTTGGCATAACTCAGCCCTATGAACACGTCACCAGGCCCTCGTTAGTGTCCATTCCATATTTCCAAAAAAATTGACTGGACTTGAAACTTGAGTGTACAGAAGTACTGTGCAGTGTGCTGTATGCAATGACATGACTCTCGCTCACTACACGACAAGTACTCGCTGCAGAATAACATAATGATATTCACACCATATGCCATTGTGGTGCACCGTGATACCAATCATGAATGGCAGCATATTTATCATTGGTCAGTTGCCTACTGGGTCGCTCCGTTGCCGAGAACATCACCCTTGTGGACTGTGGAATGACCCGCGACACCAGCAACCACCCCTGACACACCACCAAAGACTGAAAAAAAAAACAGTGCATTACGCATATGAATAGAGATTGCACTAGTACATGACTGTATACCAATCGTAGAGTAACAAAACAAGAAAGATGGAAGTTATCGGGTCTATACCATCAGAGTTGGCAGCTATAATTAAGTATTGGATTATCCTGGTGTGCAGAATGATACTGGCTGTGTGGTTGATATCCACTGTTGGTTTGCTGTCGTCAGTGTCAATCGCAGTACCTTCACTATCTCACGTCTAAGGCATTTTATGTTCCGCACGACTTGGACCAGAACACGTTAGTTATCCACACGAGAATGGTAATGAATCCAGATTACTAAGGCCTTCTTCATTGCAGTTGGTGCAATAGATTAACGGGATCGCGTCTTCAGCGTCTCCGATCTCCAAACTGTAATTATAGTTGGCAAGCCTGTTGTTTATTGGCAGACAAGAATTGCGATGCTTCTTCAAATAGGCAGTTTATCGATGTCTGTCGATGACATATTCAGCATTGCTGTGCGTGGAAGGAAAGGTGCAACTTTAGACTGCTGCTGGCCATAGCCAGCAAACTGCAACCATGATCTGGGCTTCAGCTGTCACAGGTCCATTGACAGAGAGATAGCCGCATACTGCACATACTGCAAACTACTGACTTCATGCCATTGCCTCATGGATCAGAAGTCACCACACTGAAAGAAGAAGAGCAGAGGAAAAACAGAACTGAGGCAGTAAGCAACAAATTTTCTCCTTCATTTCATTCGATGAATTTGATAGTCGTGCAATGCAAGAAAAAGTCAGAGAGCAGGAGAGCTATTAATTTAATGGGCATGCACCAGTGCTGTGGTGCCTATAAAAAATGATGCTCAGGATTTCACCACAATCATGCATGTATTATTATTATTATACGCAAGTCCGCGTTTACGTCAACAAGAAGTCCACGTATTCGTATGTGGCAGCAGACAGACAGAGCGGGCAGAGAAGAAAAGAAAAAATAAGATAGCAGACGATAGGCACATAACTCATGTTCGATGATAAGTGCTCAATGCACAGGATCTGTTCGAAAGATTAAAAAATGCACATATACTGACATATTTATATACACTATGCAACCTAGTACTCAACAAATAAAATCCAATCCAAAATCCAATCCAAACTCAGAAAAAAACTAGTACTTCAGTTGGTGAAATATCCCACCTCTGTCCCCTAAACTCAAATCTCCCCGTAATAATGACGAGACTAGAAGGTCTCTAACTCTAAGCAGCAAATTTCTTTGAATATTCGCCATTTGGAGGTAGGCGAAATCAACAGAAAACAAGCCCACAGGTGCGGCACCCTTGGAGTCTACGATTCCCGCGAGAAAATGAAAATCGGTCTCTCTTCTCATGCAAGCGCGCCCTTGGTGCACGGACTGCCTGCATAATGGGGAAATCCCACCATGGGATGCCGCCAAGAGTCGTAGAATAACTACCCCGCAGTTCGCTTGAGGTGAAAGAAGCAATGGCCGAGTTGAACGAAAAAAGTCGGTTTTACTAGTCGATGCATTCACTTTTGAAGGCGACGAACAGTGCATTCGATGCCCAGGAAGCCTTCTCTTCAACTTGGCATCGTCAAAAGTTGTGCGGAAGAAGTCGGAACGAAAGTCAATTTCTAGAGGTATTTTCAGGGCCTGGCTGCTGGACTAGATGGACAGTCAATCAAGTAGAGCAGCGATAGCAACGATTTGTTTGCAATTGTGGCAGCTCGCAGCACCTGGGAAAGCTAGCGGCATCAGCTGCGAATGCCAATCGATCGGCATTTGCAGCTACTGCAATGATATTGCTCATCAGTTGTGGCTTTGGCCTGGTATTGTACGCCGGCCACTCAAATCAGCTGCCGGACTCGATATTCAGAGAGGCGGAGAGGTGGAAAGCAATATCTGCCCGAGTAACATTCGGAAGCAACCTGCAGCCAAAGCATGGGTGGCTGCGGCAATGGCTTTAGCCCATGATATCAAGTTCTGATAGTCAATCTTTACCTAACTTGCACTGCTTACCAATTGCATGCGTAGCTGCACCTTGTGATCCGCTCCGGGAGTGCCGATTTATGGAATATATGCTCTCAACTGGTTATGCATACTTGTATATTTAGCATTTGGCGGCTCTACTCAGAGTCACTCGCGGCTCCATGCGGAGTCATTGGCGACTCCATGCGGAGTCTATAGAGAGGTTCCGGAGTGCGATTTTTCGTGGCAAAATCCGTAGAGGTGCTATGGATTTTTATACGTTGTTTTCGAGCAGTGCAATGTTCCGGAGTACGGAACTTATGTGTTGGCCATAATTGCCTAGGTTACGATCGCTAACACGTCACATTCCCGCGGTATGCCTTTTTATTTTGAAAATTTGTACCGAAATCAAAACTCCCCGCGGAAAATCGATGTTTCTCGTTCCAAAGTTGTACAGGAAAAATCTTTCTGCACCCGTTGACGCAAAATCTCCATGCGAAAAATGGTTCGTATGAAAGCCAGTCCACATGAATTCTCCATGCCGAAAAATCGTATGGAGCACGCCTCGAAAAAATCTGTAGAGCCCATACGGATTTGGGCACCGAAAATCGTACCCTGGAACCTCTCTACTGGTGGCTCCATGCGAAGTCATTGGCGGCTCCATGCGGAGTCATTGGCAGCTCCATGCGAAATCATTTGGCGGCTCCATGCGGAGTCATTGGCGGCTCAATGCGGAGTCATTGGCGGCTCCATGCGGAGTCATTTGGCGGCTCCATGCGGAGTCATTCGGCGGTTCCATGCAGAGTCATTCGGTGGCTCCAAGCGGAGTCATTTGCAGGCTCGGCTGCGAGCCATCTAGAGGCTCCAAGTAAATTTTCACCAGTTGTAGTCTTCGGGATGCTGCGATGCAGCGATGCAGCGTTCCTCCTTTATTCCAAATCGAACATGGTTGAACAAGCGGTCACGTGCTCCTGCATACACCACTCACCTGGTCACCGTGCCTGCAGGGTACAACTTACAGCCTGTTTGACCGTTTTCGGGTGCAGTCCTGTCACTCAAGTTGAACTCGAGTTGAACCTTGGTGTGAAAGTTGTCGCCTGCGGGTGCAGTGACCAGGTGATTTGTGACGCAGGAGCACGTGACCGCTTGTTCAACCGTGTTTGATTGGGAATAAAGGAGGAAGTAGAGATACAAGCGAAAGTGCATGTTCTTTGAAGGTGATAAAGTGTCGTACTTTCTGTGGGGCCACAAAGGGTTAAGCACCCGACAACACTTGCTTGGAAAGTTGTCCCTTTCTTGCTGGAACCCACATGGTCAGCCTCATGGTCAGCAGGTCAGCAGATAGGGATCTCTACATGGACTCATCCAGGGACAGAGTCTTTTTTGCCATCGTCGCCACCGCATCCACATGGGCACCACAACTGCGTCTGGAGTGCTCCCCTTCCATTGCGATAACCGTAGTGTATATGACATCCGGCTCTGCTTACGCACAACGGGTCCTTGCTTAATGGCGCTCATGCGCGCTTTGTATGCCTTTGCTGCTCGACACAACTTTCATGTCATCATCTCCCACATCTCTGGCACTGACATCGGTACTACAAATTCTCTGTCTCGGTTTCGGACGGCCAAATTCCATCAACAGACGCCTATTGCCAATCCGACACCATCTCAGGTACCCTCGGGTGGCCTCAAAACGAATGCATGCAAGGGCAGCTAGCTACATCAAATCCTTCAAATCCGTAGTCACCCAGCAGAAATGATAGAATGATTTTGTAAACGCAAAATAATACCGTGGAACGATCGCAGTCCACAATCTCGAAAGGAAAGGTTCAACTGTGAAAGAATACTGCAACAGAGAGAGGTTGTTTCTTCGGATAGATATAGCATCAGAGAATGCAGACACAACAAAGCAGAATCGTTCGCGTAGAACGACAGAGCAGCAGCTACCAAGCGCTACAAGCAAAAAACGACAGAAGAAGAGGCAAACAAAATTCAGACAAGGTAATGTGAAAATAATGAGTGTCAAAGAACACTAGCCAATGACATAGTGAGTATCACCTTGTCACTTGCTATAATTCCATATCGTCATGCAGATTATTTTATCACGAAATACCCCTACTATGCTGCAACATACTGACCTGTCACGAAATACCCCTACTATGCTGCAACATACTGACCTGTTGAAAAAGAACTTTTTTAATATACATCTACACCACAAATGTTCTCCTTTCGTTTTTTGCACAGCTCCAAAAACAGTAACGTCATTCAGTGTGACACCAACCCCAACTTCTCTGGCAGTAACATGGACTGCTTTGACTAACAAACAGTGGAATGCAGCGGGTACTAGAAAGTACGTCGTTTCATGCCCACCAGCACAATCAGGAACAACAACGGTACCAGCTACTGGTACCACAGGTCTACTACACACTGGCCGTTTAACTGCAACGGTTTCTCCTCTGACCCATGCTACAACGTACACATGCACTGTAACAGCCACTACAACCTACGCATCAGGCATCAGTTACTCGAGCAAGGCTACTTTTTCGGGCACTACCACTGAAGAAAGTAAGTACACATGGTGGCCTTTAGTTTGGTACAGGCCATTACAGAATGTTGTGTGTGTTGTGCCTTACTGTACCTCATGCATAATCAGCATCCTCATTCTGTTATAGATAAACATGTCGGTGGCCAGTACTGACGACAGGAACCACTCTCAAACATATCGGGCAGTGTTTTCGAATGTCAGAGAAAGTTGGTAATCGCTTATACGTTGTGTGCAAGTAGGTGGGTAGGTAAGTAAGTAGGTCTGGGTGTGCGAGTGTGTACGTGTGTGAGTGCATGCGTATGTGTGTGTGTGGAAGCAGTCCCTCAAGAGTAGGTGTGTTGCAACCGGGTCCCCATCCCGAAGAAGGGAAACCTTGCTCAATGCGAAAATTGGCAGGGCCTTGCCATTGGAGGTCGTTGCTGCCATGATTCAGCGCCACTTGCAGTCATTGGCCGAGACCATCCTCCCTGACTCCCAGTTTAGGTTTATTAACCCTTTCAGTGCCAGAGCACTTACTACACGGTTGGTCTCTCTCTCTCTCTCTCTCTGTCTCTCTGTCTCTCTCTCTCTGTCTCTCTCTCTGTCTCTCTCTTCTCTCTTCTCTCTCTCTCTCTCTCTCTCTCTCTCTCTCTCTCTCTCTCTCTCTCTCTCTCTCTCTCTCTCTCTCTCTCTCTCTCTCTCTCTCTCTCTCTCTCTCTCTCTCTCTCTCTCTCTCTCGCTCTCTCGCTCTCTCTCTCTATCTCGCTCTCTCTCTCTCTCTCTCTCTCTCTCTCTCTCTCTCTCTCTCTCTCTCTCTCTCTCTCTCTCTCTCTCTCTCTCTCTCTCTCTCTCTCTCTCTCTCTGTCTGTCTTTCTCTCTCTATTTCTCTGTCTCTCTGTCTCTCTCTCTCTCGCTCTCTCTCTCTCTCTCTCTCTCTCTCTCTCTCTCTCTCTCTCTCTCTCTCTCTCTCTCTCTCTCTGTCTCTCTCGCTCTCTGTCTCTCTCTCTCTCTCTCTCTCTCTCTCTCTCTCTCTCTCTCTCTCTCTCTCTCTCTCTCTCTCTCTCTCGTACTGTAGTTTGTGCCGTGCCTGGGCCTGTACTACGCGCCACGTGCTTGGCGCTTGTCGTGTAGCGCTGGACCAGGGACGTTACACCTGGAGGCACGACAACGAACTCGGGGTCATCGTCAGGAACATGCGTGAGGAGATTCGAATCCGCACTGCTGCAAACACCGTACAAACTGAAATTCAAATGAGCTTGACTTCATCTCGTTTTGCAAGGCGGGAGAGAAGCCAGTTCGCGTTCAGCCCAGACGAAAGTTGGTTACGACTGATCTCTTGTCAGCGGCCTCAGACTGGAAACTTCTTGTCGACTCAGTTAGTGCAAAGATTTCTTTCCCTAGCTGTGTTGCACATACCACCCTAAGACCACATATAGTTCTGTACTCTACGAGTCGTAGGATTGTATTCTGGATGGAGTTGACAGTTTGTGCTGAGGACAGATTCAGTGTCAGTAACTCGCGGAAGGACAGGCGGTATGCGGATCTGGCCGATCAATGCCGAGCAAACGGGTGGCAGGTCGTTTCTTTTTCGGTTGAGGTAGGTGTGCGTGGTTTCATCCCGGACTCTCTTCTGAGGGCTCTGAAAGCGCTTGGGTTTTCTAATCGAAGAATACAATTTATTTTTAATTTGTGCAGTAAGACGTCTCTGCGAAGCAGCTACATCATCTGTTTGCGACGTCAACAAAAACACTGGTCGGAAGATCAAATTTTCTGAGGTACTGTATGTTGGGCTCCGTTTATTGAGGTGCGTTGAAATTTATTCTCTTTATCTTATTATTTCTTTTCTATAATTTCCCCATATGAGTTCCTATCAGTTGCTGTGAACACCTTGAGTGGAGAGCGCTTGCTCGAGCGTTGAACCGGGTTCTTAATCCACCATACCCAGTTCGCAAGGCTGGGCGGGTGTGATATCCATGTACATGTCTTGTGTTGACGTCACTAACATGTCACTAGGACTCTGCATGCACGCAGGCCAACCTGTGCTTCCTTGCCCTTTTCCTTGTTGTTCTGTCTTCCGAGTCCTTGAAGTGACTTCCTCGTTGTTGGCTTTTGTGAATAGAATTATACATACCGGTAACAACCTTGTCTCAGTCTGGGTTGTAATAATTGGCGACGAAGATAAAAGTATTAGACGATGGCCATGGCCTCCAGTTTCTGTCAGATGGAGCCATTTGACGGCCAGAACTTCTCCGATAATTTGGATCGTCTCGAGTGTTATTTCGCCGCAAATAGAATCGGAGTGGCAGCTACCACCGATGCAGACGACGTCACTGCTGCAGGAAAGGTCAAAAACGGCTGCCCTGATTGCGCTGGTGGGTAAAGCTACCTACTCGACGCTGAAAGACTTGTGCTTTCCTGACAAGCCAACGTCTAAAACGTTCGATGAGATAGCCGATCTCCTCAAGAAACACTTCCAACCGAAGCTGAGTTTAGTGGCGGAAAGCTGTCGTTTCCATCAGTGCCGGCAAGGAACGGAATCTGTCACGGAATTTGCAAATCGCCTGAAGAGACTGGCGTCCACTTGCGAGTTTGACTCCCACTTGGATCGCGCACTGAAGGACCAGTTCGTGCAAGGGCTACGAGGCCAATCCATCACGAAGAAACTGCTGACTATAGCGAACGACAAGAAATTTGCTGATTTCTTAGCCACGGCAACTTCGGAGGAACTCGCTGATGCACGGGCTGCAGAACTGACATCGGCCTCAAGGACTACAGACGTCCACAGTCTTCGGTCCGCGCCATCATCGCTGAAGTCGCGTTCATACAACGACATGCCTCCCAAAGCTGGCCGCAAGTGCACTGGCTGCGGCGGACAATGGCACGAGAGACGAGAGAGCTGCCCTGCCTGGGGAAAGTCGTGTAATTTCTGCCACAAGCAGGGCCATTTCGCATCTGTGTGCAGAGCCAAGGCCAAGGTACAATTTGTGCACAATCCAGCGCCGGACGCGGGGGAATCAGACTCGGCAATAAACAGTGAGGAGTATTGTCCGGAACTGCACCACACCGTGTGTATCAGCCATGTAAGCAGTACTGTCGACCCGTATGTCTGCACTGTTCGCATTGGCCGCACCCCAATGGTATTCGAGATCGACACCGGGGCTGCAGTTACTGTGATTAATGAACGGCATTACCATGATTTGGCTTCCAAGGAACAGTTGACGCTGGAAACTGACGACTTACCCAGTCTACATACGTATGCCGGCAAGATCATCCCAACGGTAGGCCGCGTGAGAAGGGAAACCAGCCACGGAGGACGCAAGGCTGAGCTGGTCTATTATGTGGTCAAAGGCACTGGACCCAATCTGCTAGGTCGGGACGCATTGGAGAAACTGAGGCTCAACTGGAACCAAGTTTTCAACGTCACTGGTGACATGCCGAAGAATATCCTGGACAAGCATCCGGAACTATTCAAGTCTGGCCTGGGCACTTGGCGACATGGCAGTGTCAAGCTGGCAGTGGACCGTAACGTGAGGCCACGATTTCTGAAGGCACGGTCGGTTCCCTATTCACTCAAGTCGGCAGTGGAGAAGGAGCTGGACCGGCTGGTGAAAGAGAACATTATCCACCCTGTGCAGAGTACTGATTGGGCTGCACCGATTGTGCCAGTGCTAAAGAACAATGGCCAGATACGCATCTGTGGCGACTACAAGTGTACCATTAATCAAGCATCCAAGACAGACAAGTATCCGTTACCCAACATAGAAGACTTATATGTAAAACTGAATAAAGGATGCTGCTTCACGAAGTTAGATCTCAGCCAGGCCTATCAGCAGCTACCGTTAGACGAACAGTCTCAGCTTCTCACGGCTATCAACACAAGCAAAGGCCTATTTGTGTATAATCGCTTGCCTTTTGGAGTGTCCTCTGCACCTGGTATCTTTCAGCGCACCATGGAGCAGCTGTTGGCCGACATTCCAATGGTCGTAGTGTACCTGGACGACATCCTCATATCTGGCACAACACGGGAGGAACACGACCTCCATGTCAAAATGGTCTTGGAGCGTCTTGAATCGGCTGGTCTGCGCTTGAACCGGGACAAATGTGTGTTTGGCCGTTCATCTGTCACTTTCCTCGGCCACATCATTGATTCAACCGGAATATCGCTGACAGCTGAGAAAGTGCAAGATGTGCTGGACGCCAAGGCACCGACTAACGTATCACAGCTCAGAAGCTACTTGGGCTTGATTAACTATTATCACAAGTTTGTACAGAACTTAAGTACTGTGTTGAAACCCTGTACGAATTGCTCTGTAAGAAGCAGTGGCGGTGGTCTGACTGTGAACAGTCTGCTTTTGAGAAAAGCAAAGCCATGCTACTAGAAGCACCATGCCGTGTACATTACGACCCGAAGATGCCAATTGTCGTCAGTTGTGATGCGTCACTGTATGGTATTGGTGCCGTTCTCTCACACATCACTGCGGACGGAGATGAGCATCCAGTCGTGTTTGCATCGAGAACATTGTCCTCAGCGGAACAGAAATATGCACAGATCGAGAAAGAAGGCCTGGCTATGGTGTTCGCCGTCAAGCGCTTTCATAAGTATTTATTCCCGTAGCTATGCAGCCAGGGTCCACACAGCTTTAATTTGGTGTTTGTTTGTTTGTTTGTTTGTGTCACGCCTGGCGCTATCCCGTATCTGTCCCGTACCGTACCGTACCAGCCAAGACAGCTGGCCACAATATATTTTGGTTTGTTTGTGCCATCGGCATGCCTGACGCTATCCCGTACCTGTCCCGTACCATCAAGAATACGGTACAATCAAGAAAATGAGTATACATGCGGAGTGTATCGGAGTAATGCATTCAGTGCAGTAACATTTTGTGTGGATTTGTGTGCGAGGCCGAGATCCCACTAGCAGGCTGGCTGGGCCGCCTGTCGACCAGCCCGGGAATCGCATGTAGGCCGATAGCATAATAATTATAACGTGTATAGATGTATAGCAGGGAGTCGTATTATGTAAACGACTCAGTGCTGTCTAGGGAGATTTTCTTGAAAGAAATACGAAGTAGGGAGATGAAGAAATGCAATTAGAATGGACGTTAGTTGCCGAATATGTGACATGATGCGTCAGCTAAAACAACCTTTGGAAGAGAGATCCCGTCGTCTCCAAAATAATCCTGAACGGGCGAGTCAGCGCCAGTCACAGGAAACGTCGGAAGAGAGATCCCGTCGACTCCAGAACGTCCGTGATCGGCAGAGTCAGCGCCGGTAACAGGAAACGTCGGAAGAGAGATCCCGTCGACTCCAGAACATTCGTGATCGGCAGAGTCAGCCCCGGTCACAGGAAACGGCAGGACAGACATCGCGTCGACTCCAGAACGCCCGTGATCGGCAGAGTCAGCGCCGGTCACTAGGGGTGTGCGGATAATGCTCGAAAAGGTGGCAGATTATGCTCGAAAAGCAGTGAAATTGGCAGAACCATACAAACCTATGGCGGGCAATTACTCGAATTCTGCTCCATTTCTTTATCCACATACCAAACAGGCAGGAAACTTACCAAAAAAGTACCGAATTTGCCAATTTTTCTGCCGGCATTATCCGCAAATGCCTACCGTTCACAGGAAACGTAACAAAAAAATTAAAAATTAAAAATATACAAGCTGGATCGACATTTGTGTACACTGTATTCATGTATTGTAAAACTGTGGAGACAATGTGCAATAAAACGATGAAAAATGTGAAGAAATTGTGTAGAGAAAGAAAGGGATTCAAACAAGTTTTGGTACAACACTCATCAGGAATCATCGTTGTACTAAAGGACACTGAAACAAAAATTGAACTATTATAGAAAATCTAAGTTAGAGAAATAACACTAAGAGCAACAACAGTGAAATTTACAACAACGCAATCTACAGCAACCACAACTAATCCACCATCCAAGCCCATAATTGAAAGACCAAGACGATCAACAGCCAACTACAACAGAAGCTACGCACTCAGCGGACGAGGGCGAAAGGAGGGACGTGATAGCAGGGGGACGGCCGAGTTGGGTTCAATGGACCCGGTCAGGCGGGATGGACGAGACAGAGAGAGTGCAGAGGAAGCGGAGGATGGAACGGACGGTGGAGGGAGCAGTGAGTCGGAGAGCAGTGATGGGAGTGATGGTGAGAGTGCCGGTGAGAGTGTTAGTGTTGTGCGTAGGTTTCGTGGTAGCAAGTCTTCAGTGTACAATCATCTGCTGGCTAGTCCTGATTGTTGCGGTGCGTATTCTGACTCTTCGTTCACTGTATTGTGCCGTGGTCGTCATGGTTATGGACTACAGTTAAAAGTGTTGGAAGCTATCTATCAGCGTCTGTACAAGCCTAATTTGTGTGTACAGAAAGATAGTATAATTGGGTTGAAATTGTTCAAGTAACGTGTCGTGTTTAGTGCGGCCAAGCTTGGCCGTTAATGTTCTAGGTGTAATGTACTGCTGTTATGTGTTATCACGTTGTCTTTCCTTCCTTTCTCCTTTGTTCATTTCTCGCTTTGATTGTTAAAATTCACACTTGTAAATTTCACTGTTGTTGCTCTTAGTGTTATTTCTCTAACTTAGATTTTCTATAATAGTTCAATTTTTGTTTCAGTGTCCTTTAGTACAACGATGATTCCTGATGAGTGTTGTACGAAAACTTGTTTGAATCCCTTTCTTTCTCTACACAATTTCTTCACATTTTTCATCGTTTTATTGCACATTGTCTCCACAGTTTTACAATACATGAATACAGTGTACACAAATGTCGATCCAGCTTGTATTACTGATTGCGGTTATCAAATTGTTGTCTCCTCGCCGTTTGTAAAAATATACAAAAAATATTAACGCCGTAGCAACAGACGTTACTTCAGTATCGTTTGGCGCTAGCCAGGGTTCACACGGCTTTGGCACGTCACATGCATGATGAGCAAGCAAAAAAGCATAGCGTAGGGCCCTGAGCTTCCAAGCTCTCTCGTTTGGCCGCTCGTTTGTGCTGCAGACTGACCACAAGCCTCTACTTGGTCTATTTCAGGAAGATCGTCCGATTCAGCCGATGGCCAGTGGTCGCATCCAACGCTGGGCCCTACTACTAGCAAGCTACGACTACCAGCTTCAGTTCAAGTCGGGCAGCAACAATGGTAATGCTGATGGACTCAGTCGGCTACCATCACCCTCATCGGTACCAGAAGTCCCAACACCAGCCAAAGTCGTTCTGTCGATGGCTGTCCTGGAGAACACTCCGGTCACATCCACCACCATTGCTCAATGGACGAGCAAAGATCCGGTGCTGTCACTTGTCCTCAAGTACGTCCAAGAAGGTTGGCCGGACAACATCCCCGTGGATTATCAAGCGTATTCCTGTCGTCGTAATGAGCTTTCAGTAGTAAGTGGCTGTCTTTTGCTGGGCTCACGTGTTATTATTCCACCAAGAGGCCGTGAGCCGCTCCTGGAAGAATTACATGAAGGTCACCCGGGCATAACCCGGATGAAAGCCCTCGCCCGCAGCTACATCTGGTGGCCATCTATTGACGACGAGATAGAGCTCAAGGTCAAGAGCTGCCAACCGTGCCAAGCCATTCAGAAGTCACCAGCCCTTCAGCCGCTACATCCCTGGGAATGGCCAGGTAAAACATGGGTGCGTCTGCATGTCGATTACGCAGGTCCAGTTGAAGGCAAGATGCTCCTGGTTATCGTTGACAGTTTCAGTAAGTTTATTGAAGTCCACCAGGTATCGTCTGCAACCTCGGCTTCAACTATTGCCAAGCTACGTCAGACATTTGCAACGCACGGACTGCCGCTTCAACTTGTTTCCGACAATGGCTCAGTATTCACCAGCGACGAATTTCAACGATTCTGTTCTGCTAATGGTATCAAGCATACCCGGTCATCTCCGTACCACCCAGCCAGCAACGGTCTAGCTGAGCGTGCCATACAAACCGTCAAGAATGCGCTGCAGAAGTCTGTTGGTGATTCTGATTTGGAATCCCGTCTGTATCGGTTCCTGTTTCAGTATCGCCTTACGCCACAATCCACTACTGGTCAATCTCCATTTCAACTCATGATGGGTCATAAGCCTCGGTCCCGTCTTGACCTCACATTTCCGGACACTTCTAAGACGGTTTTCAGCCGACAGCAAGCAGCCGTAGACCGCCGCCCGGCTCACTCGTCGTCCTTCTGCTGTGGAGACCCTGTGTCCTGTGTCAACTTTGCTGGCTCACCTAAATTGATGGATGGAGTTCTTGAAGAGTGTCTAGGCCCAGCCACATTTACAGTGCGCCTACCCGATGGCAGATTGTGGAAACGGCACAGTGACCACATCCGCCCACGATTGCCAGCCGAGGAGCCACCTGTTGCTGCGCCAGAACAGGCGACAACCGCATATCCAGCTGTCGTTCCATCTGGTCAACCTCTGAGCCATCCAGTGTGGACATCACCTGTGCCGGATTCAGACGCATCCGAACTACAGCCTTCAGTTGATTCTGTACCAACGGCCGTATCTGCCTCACCAGTTCCTCCAGCACAGGAATCAGTCACACTTCCAGAGTCGCAGTCAGCTGGGTCGACTCCTGCTATTCTTCCGCGTCGCTCAACTAGAGCTGTTCAGGCGCCCATCCGTTTGGACTTGTAACAGTTCTATCATAGCTACTCACAGCTAGATCTGCTGTCTTATTTCTGTGTTTACAGCTATATTTCGCCATGTCTTGTGTTAATGAAGTTGAGAGACACCACTGCGGCTGAACTTATGGTTGAAAAATATGGTGGTAAAGACACACCTGGCAATATGGCGGTAAACACACGCCTGCCCACACACGCTCTCTAGGCTGCAAAATTCTGGCATAGAGCTCTCCTTCTCACCACCACCACCATCAGTTCGCGCCTGGCGCCTGGTTGATGCATGGCTGGCGGTATCCGGCATAGCAGGCTGGTACATCAAGTAGCGCATGGCACATAGATGATGACACAGCAACGACATAGCTCGATTGCGACGTACGTTTCGTCCCCGCTGGACTCATCAGGCAATCTTCTTCTTGGATGTCTTCATACGGACCTTGACTCGGGAGAATGAAGTTGAAGACACCACTGCAGCTGTACTTATGGTTGAAAAATATGGTGGTAAAGACACACCTGGCAATACGGCGGTAAACACACGCCTGCCCACACACGCTCTCTAGGCTGCAAAGTTCTGGCATAGAGCTCTCCTTCTCACCACCACCACCATCAGTTCGCGCCTGGCGCCTGGTCGATGTATGGCTGGCGGTATCCGGCATAGCAGGCTGGTACATCAAGTAGCGCATGGCACATAGATGATGACACAGCAACGACATAGCTCGATTGCGACGTACGTTTCGTCCCCGCTGGACTCATCAGGCAATCTTCTTCTTGGATGTCTTCAGCCTAGAGAGCGTGTGTGGGCAGGCGTGTGTTTACCGCCATATTGCCAGGTGTGTCTTTACCACCATATTTTTCAACCATAAGTACAGCTGCAGTGGTGTCTTCAACTTCATTCTCCCGAGTCAAGCTCCGTATGAAGACATCCAAGAAGAAGATTGCCCGATGAGTCCAGCGGGGACGAAACGTATGTCGCAATCGAGCTATGTCGTTGCTGTGTCATCATCTTTGTGCCATGCGCTACTTGATGTACCAGCCTGCTATGCCGGATACCGCCAGCCATGCATCGACCAGGCGCCAGGCGCGAACTGATGGTGGTGGTGGTGAGAAGGAGAGCTCTATGGCAGAACTTTGCAGCCTAGAGAGCATGTGTGGGCAGGCGTGTGTTTACCGCCATATTGCCAGGTTTGTCTTTACCACCATATTTTTCAACCATGTCTTGTGTTACTGTTTCTACAGGTAATTTGTTATTTGTTATTGTTTACCTAGTCTTTGTTTCATCTAGGGTTGGAGGGATGTGATATCCATGTACATGTCTTGTGTTGACGTCACTAACACGTCACTAGGACTCTGCATGCACACAGGCCAACCTGTGCTTCCTTGCCCTTTTCCTTGTTGTTCTATCTTCCGAGTCCTTGAAGTGACTTCCTCGTTGTTGGCTTTTGTGAATAGAATTATACATACCGGCAACATCCTTGTCTCAGTCTGGGTTGCAATAGCGGGGTTGTGAGCAGGCTTTCATTTCATCTTTTCTTAATATTTCTTATTATTTCTGCTTTACATCTCATTACAAAAATTCTGCGCATTTTTTTCTCCATCTGCGCATAAAATCTAGACTGACAACCTGCTTGCTAAATCATGCACCTGCTTTCAGGCGTAAAAACCCTGTTGTAGAGGTCTCAGTCCTCATTTGTTAGACTTACCTGTCTTTATGTCATGTCCTGGACATGGACCATATGTATGTAGTGCGCATGCTCGCACGTGAGCTTGGTCTTTTTCGGAGGTGGAGTTTGAGATGTACTGAAATCTGTAATGGCCTCGAGTGTGTGTGTGATCGAGCTGGATGAGTCCGAGTAGAACCCACCTGGAGTAGGACACAACAACTGGCGACGAAGATATGGCTCGGATATCATCGCTTCAGCCGTTTACCGGCGGCGACTTTGAAGAGTTTGAGGAAAGACTTGAATTCTATTTTTTGCCAATGATATTGGAACCGTGGCTGCTTCGGCCAATGCTGCAGACAAGTTGGCTGTCAGAAAGAAAAGGAAGGCTGTATTAGTGAGTTTGCTGTCTGCGGAAGTCTACTCGATTTGGAGGAGCCTCTGTCTGCCAGCGAAAGTAGCTGACAAGAAACTGTCGGAGATTTGCGATCTTTTGAGGAAGTATTTTCAACCTGCAATTTCGCAAGTTTCGGCGACGTTCAATTTCCATCAGTTGGAGCAGAAGGAAAATGAGTCGACTGCGGATTTCATCATTCGTCTGAAGAGATTGGCTGTGAGGTGTGAGTTTGCTGATCACCTCGATCGAGCGCTTCGAGACCAGTTTATTGCTGGCTTGATCAGCTCATCCACTCGAAATTTCTTATAGACGAAAGAAAATACTTCGGCATAGTCGTTCAATGACATCGTCAAACTAGCTTTGACGCAGGAATCGGCTGCGCGCGCGGCCGTGCAGCTGACCTCTCAGCAGGAAGTGCACAAGGTGAATCACCGGCCAGTGGAATCGCGTTTGCAGGCGCAGTCTGGTGTTTCTCGTCAATCTCATCAATCTCGAGAGCAGAGATTATGCTACCGCTGTGGGTCTACTCAACACTTGGCGGATAAGTGCAAACACAAGGCCACTGAGTGTCGTCACTGCCACAGGAAGGGGCATTTGGAGCGTGTTTGTCGGCAGAAATCCACATCAGGCGCATCGGTGCACAATGTTGTGACTGATGACGCAGGTGAGCATGAATCTCTTGATCTTGAGTGCATGCCAATGTTCCACATTTCGGATCAGGGAGAATTGAAGATCAAATCTGTGCCCTCCTACAAATTGGAAATTGCTGTGAATGATGTTCCTGTTGTAATGGAAATCGACACGGGCAGTGGCATTTCAATCATTTCTGTCCATGATTTTGAGTCACTTGGGGTGTCTCATACAAATTTAACCAAACCGAGTGTACGCATGACCGGTTTTTCTGGGGCAGAAATCAAATGTATTGGTGAAGGGAAGTTCAATGTCAGCATTGATGGTGTGGAGAAACCAACACTACTCCGTGTGGTGGATAATGGTGGTCCGTCATTGTTGGGCAGGGATATGTTGTCCCAATTTACTCTACCGTGGAAACAGATTGTCAATGTCAATCATGTTCAAATGGATGGTAGGAGGAGAGCTCACATTGAGGAATTTGAGGAGCTGTTCGATACGACTCAGGTTGGCAAGCTGAGGTCGGCTCAAATCACCCTGAGAGTGGATGATTCTGATCCAATTTTCCACAAGGCGCGTCCCGTACCGTTCTCTATCACGGAGAAGTACGAGGAGGCTTTGGAGAAATTGGAAGCAGAGGGAGTTATTCGCAAAGTTGAGCATTCCAAATGGGCATCGCCTACTGTGCCAGTACTGAAATCGGATGGTAGTATCCGAATTTGTGCTGATTACTCTCGCTCAATCAATGCCAAGTCTGATCTGGAGCACTACCCGCTACCTACTATTGAGGAAATGTTAGCGAAATTGTCGGGGGGGGGGGGAGATAAATTCACCAAATTGGATCTCTCCCAAGCCTATCACCAACTGGAGCTTCATCCAGCTTCTCGGCCATACACGACAATCTCTACTCACAAGGGGTTGTATGAATACGTGAGATTGCCCTTTGGCATTCACTCGGCAGTGGCAATTTTCCAACGCACAATGGAATCCATATTGGCAGATCTGCCTGGGTGCATCGTCTATGTGGATGACATCCTGATTACTGGGAAGGATGAGGATGAACACCACAACAACCTGATCAGGGTACTATGTCGCCTACAGGAGGTCGGGATGAAGCTTAGTCCCAGTAAGTTTCATTTCATGATGGATGAGATTTCCTACCTGGGTCACACGATTTCTAATGCTGGTGTGGCTCCCACAGCGGATAAGATTGAGGCATTGCGGGACGCTAAGGCTCCTTCGAATGTTAACGAGCTTCAATCATTCATTGGAACGGCGAATTTCTTGCGACGGTTCATACCTCATTTCGCAACAATAATGGTACCTCTGTACAATCTGGTGAAGAAATCTGCTGAATGGCAATGGGAGGAAAATGAGCAGAATGCATTTTCTCGAATCAAGGCTGCACTGTGTTCCAGTGAAGTACTCATTCACTATTCCTCGGAGAAAGATCTGATCCTTCAAACGGATGCTTCGGGCATTGGTCTCGGTGCGGTAATGTTTCAGAAGGACGAATCGGGCGAGCTTCGTCCTGTAGCGTACGGGTCTCGTGTTCTCTCGTCGGCGGAGAAGAACTACTCCAATATCGAACGGGAGGCGCTGGCGTTGGTGTTTGGAGTTACCAAATTTCGTCAATATCTGTTGGGACGGACGTTCATGCTGAGAACGGATCATCAGCCATTACTCAAATTGTTCGGCTGCACAGAGAAAGTGCCTACTCTGGTATCTTCGAGGCTGAAAAAATGGAAGATGGTTTTGTCGGCATACAACTACTCAATGGAGTACATTCCGGGCAGAAAGAATGTATTTGCGGACTATTTGTCGCGCAAACCAATGAGTGGCGATCCTACTCGTGATGAAATGGTTGAACAACAGGTGTTGTTTGTTCAAGAAGAATCTGAAATTATCAGGGCTGCTACTGTAGCGGCGGAAACGAAACGGGATGTCGTCCTGAAGAAGGTACTCCATTTCACGATTAATGGTTGGGAGGAAGTGTCAGAGCCAGAGCTCTTTCCTTACTTCGCTAAACGGTGGGAACTGTCATTAGAGGACAACATCCTTTTATGAAATGGAAGGGTGGTCATGCCTGACTCCCTGAGAGTAATCCTACTCAATGACCTACACTCAGAACACTCTGGGGTAGTGAGAATGAAACGGTTGCCTCGGAGATACGTTTGCTGGCCTAAAATCGACGAAGATATCGAGTCGACGGTCAAGCAGTGTGCCCTATGTCAACTCAATGCCAAGAACGCCCCGAAAGAGTTTGCAACTTGGACATGGCCGGCAGGACCGTGGCAGAGACTGCATCTCGACTTTGCAGGACCGTTTCTC